AACGTCTCACGCCCTTCTTTCTCCATGGTCGAGGGAGTATGCACAGGGCCTTTTGGCCAGTGTCCATCTTCTATCACCCACCTCATCCAATCACCCATCATCTGCTTTCGAGCTTTGCGTGCTCACGTAACAGGAAAAACCAAATTTTCTCTGGAACACCTGCTGCTGCAAACCGGCTAGTGAAGTCCAGCACCCAGTCAAACAATCCAGCACCTTCGAAAACAGCTTTCTTGATGACAGGGGGGAGCATCGGCATGAACTGAACCGACCAGGCCTCCTGGATGTATACCTCCATGACCTTCGAACTTATCCAGCGACCCCTGCGACGGGTCATTTCAGCATTTTCGCTGGTCATCAACATCCATGTAGCTCCCCCTGCCCGGAGGCTCCCCAGATCGAGGCCTCCGGGCAGGTTTGCCAGACCAACAGCTTGCAGTAACTTTTGAAAACGCAACCTCATGGTTTGTCCCGACATTGGCCATAGTCTGCAAAGAGGATCGAGTCCTCCAAATGCCAACACCAAAATCCGCAGGAGCTGTGGCTGATCAAGCCTTGCTACCTGATGTCTAGCAGCCCTGAAACGTGTTTTAGGTTCAGCTATCTGGAGTAGGGCAAAGTCGGTCGAGTTCTCCACGTCCATGGGGAGGATCAACTGCTTTCGGGTTGCTATCAAAACTTCTCCTATCCTGCTCAAACTGCCCCAAGAAAGGGCGATCACACCTGCCACCCTGGTCCAGCCCCAACTCAATGCGGTTGACAGGATGCACAACAAAGCAGGCCATGGTAAGGCGAGGTGGTGTGTCGGTGGTTCCTGTCTTAGCCAGGCATATCCCAGATCTCAGGCCTGTTGCAAAGACCTGCGGATCCGGGGGCGTTTCCCCGAAATGGCATTGATGGTTTCAGCATAATGGTTGTATGGTCGGCCAGCTCGAAAAATCTCCCGGCCGTACTTTTCCAACAAAATGTTCAAGCCATCAACATTTGGCTCTCCAACAAAAAGCAGCTCGTCAAGGCTCCATCCTTGGTCGTGCAACCAAGCATCAAACAAACTCAGAAGTCGATCTCTTTGCTTTTGCGTCACCGGAAGGACTGGTCGTCCTTGTGGCAGCTCAAGATCAGTCCTCAGTTCCGCCCGCTTGCGGTCTTTTGCATCACGAGGCTCCAATGGGCGTCCATGGCGCGACCCGGCAGCTACACTACCTACGGGGTGCAAGGTACCAAGGAGCAAAGTCCAAAGGAGAAGGAAGCAGATGAACCCATTGCGGTGCGAGTGAGGCAAAGTCACGAAGCTTCGTCCCTTTGAGGAGACCGGATGGCAGCCAATCTTTGGAGGGAAAGCCCCAAAGAAGAGAGCTCTTGAGGCAGTGAGCGTCGTTTGCCAGAGAATGCCAAGAAAACCAAAGAGCCAGAGAAGGCTCTTATGGAGCGGGAAAAACCCAAATGAAATCCAGCCTGGCGGGAAAAACCCACACAAAGTCCAAGTGCGAGGGGGAGGTCCCTCTGAAGTCCAATCTCGCGGGAAAAACCCAAACGCCCTGAGGGGCTCTGAGACCCAAGCATGAGGACGCTTTGAGGCATTGCCGGCCGGCACATTCTGCGGAAGCTGTCTGGAAGCGTGACCTTCTGCTTGTCTGCGGGCAAGAGATGTAGTCTTATCAGGTGCCTCATCAAAACTGAAACCACAGGACAAAAAAGCCACGTAGTGGAAGACGACAAAACCTCCTCCGTGACCCTCACCTCGATACTCCAGACCAGCATTGAAGTCCGTGGTCTCGAGTAGGATGATCGGCTGGCAGCATACGTGTAGGTCCATAATGGTAGCCTGGGTATAGGGCTCCAACGATTGTAGTGGCACCCGCCTTCCTGAGGGCCTTCCTCAGTCCTCTGGATGGAGAACGCCCTTTCACCAGTGCGGACAGCCCAACGTTTGAATCCATCACAATCACGGGCCTGGATTTGGGCTGGGCAACTGCCAAGCTCTTCAACAAATGTACAACTGTCAGGGTCTCCTGAATGTTGATGTGAAGAGGCTTCTTCCATCTCCAAACGGCATCTGTTGACCAGGCACCATCAAGCAGCACGTCATTGCACAAAAGGTTCTCGAGGCCGCCAACTGATGGTTGTTTGGCGAGGGATGTCCTCAGCTTTGCCTTGAGTGCCACATCAAAACATCCAGCCCACAGCTTCAGCAAGTTCATCTGTGTAGGTAGCCGAAGGCTTGGTGTATTAGCCTTGAATAGGAATGTGCTCGTGGTCTCTAGAGCACTTTCGATGGAGTGACCTGCCATCCATACTTGTCAGCAAGAAGACAAATTCCTTCTTGTGTGGTGAACCATACTGACATGATGCTAGCCAGACCTCATACGCCACCCCTCGTACCAACAAGGAGGCCCATTCAGCCAAGCTCCTCATCTTGCTCCTTCGAGGCTGCTCCAAAAGGCCTGGAACACATAGGTCTGCAGCAAGTGCCATCAAACTGAGTGCTCTTAATGCCAACGTAGTGCCCAGCAACGTCTTTTGCTCCAAAGGATCATAGCCTCGAGGACAATCATATCCACGGCTTGCTGGATGTTGTGCAGGAGAAAAGGTAGTGCAAGGAGGCTCTACCATGAAGGAATCCAGGAGACCGGCCTCAATAAGGTAGAATAGCCAGCTCAAGACCCGAAGATGGGCAAAGTCAAAATGCGGAGACCTGTCAAGATCAATCACAGGGCCCACAACCCAACCTCTGTCAGCCAGACGTCCGGAAATCTTTCCTGCACCTCCACAGACCTCAATGAAGTGGTACCGGAATCTCGGGGTGCAATGCTTCTTGAACATCGCTCTGCTCCTCAAACTCCTCACGCATCCAATCCAGCTTTCTCACCACTGCCTCCTCTCTGGAAAGCATCCTAGAATAGCTGGTCTTACTTCTCCGCGTCCTCCAAAGAACTCTCATAGTCTGCCTGTCCAAGCACCTCGACACTACGGCTCCTTTCGCATCTGAGGAGTCCGTGGCATAGATCTTGGGCAAAAATCTAGCGGACAGGTCAGTGCAGAAAAAGGGGCAAAGCTCTGCAGCAAGCAAGACCTCCTGAGCTGCTCTTCTAATCAGCTGAAAGATTTTTGGCTTTCTCTGGCTAACCTGATCTGCAGGGCAGACATTGTACACCTCAGAGAAGATGGACATGGTGGGCCTCCTGTAGAGCATTGCATTTGGTCCAACGGGCACATGCTAGCCTCATCGAAACGTAGGACAGAGCAAGCCTCTTTGTAGCAGGACTCCCAACAGAGGTAAGACCTCGAGCACGAGTCTCAGGACTTGCATCAATTTCAGCTCCTGTCACCTTTGCTTTCTGCGAGTCCCACAGGTCCTTGTCAGGAGAGCCCAAGAGACCTTCTGCCTTGTAGGCCGCAGTAGCTCTCTTCATGTGCATTGTGGCTCTAGATAGGTCCTGGTATGCAGCCCCGTCAGGGTCGTACACCGGCAAATTGTCATCCTCGACTGAAATGCAGTAAAAGTCATCAATGACCAGACCACTTGCAACATCCGAGCCACGGAAGCACCTCCCAGATTGTAGTTCACATTGTCCAGGAAAAAGTCCCTTTTGCAGCAAAAAGGCCCGATGGGCCTCTGTAGCAAACTCAACCCCCAAATGATCACCTTGGGGCACGCTGTTGATGCAGATCTGGAAGAACGGAGGGATGTCTTTCCCCTTCCTTTTCTGGCTCTCTTGGGCCAGCAGGAAGTCTCCATGTTTTGTCCTATCATATCTTTGGCCTCGATGATTTCTCAGCACCCAACTTTTGAACGCAGCAGTCCCTTCAATGGCTGACAGAGTCACCAAAGGAAAGACAGCATTTGAAGCGGCTCGCTGCTCAGACACCTTCATCTGATGGTAGAAGTCCCGGCGATCTGAAGCACATATACTCAGTCTCTGACAACCAGGGGAAATCTCGAGGTCCAGGAGACATTGGGCTGAAGGCAAGCGTCTGGAGGCGGAGACCAATCTGCCTTCAACATAGTTTCTGGCCCGCCGATCGCCGATCATCCTGTCAGTGGTTGGGTTCTTGTAGTTGTTGAAAAAGCGCATGGAGAGGTGCATGTTGTCTTCTTCGATAGGCTGGTTCCGAAGAAAAAGCAAACCACGAGCATCCCACACCAGCGCTAACTCACATGTATGATCCAGCCTCTCCTTCTCTAAGTCCGGCGAGTCCTCGGTCTCATCCAATGTCCAGAGAAGAGTGGCAGGCTCCTGGTAGGCAATCCAAAGTCTATCTGATAAGTAGGGAGATGGGTCCCAAAGAGCATTCCCGTAGAGGATGAGCCGCGAAGGATCCAAAGCGCGATAAGGCCTCAATTCCTCAGCTTTGCTCAAGTCTCTGTCTACAACCACATTGTCATAGCCAGGAGCCCCTTGAAACGTACGAGAGTATGGGTCGCCACCAAGACATTCTTTGTCAAAGAAGTCAGACAAATCATCCAGTAGCGACACCAAAGTAGGAAGTCTACGGCCACCCTGAGGTACAAGGAACTCTTCCCCAGGGCTACCGAAAGCCCTCACCACCGCCCGGAGATACTCTACTGTAAAGCCTCTGCCTGTGATCTTGTAGGTATCCTTGTCATGGATGCCAGAGCGGAACAAAGGAGCAGTCTGCATGCCAGAAGTTGAGAGCCATCACAATCACATGGAAGGCCCGGTCAAAGCTCAACTTTCTTTGCTGACGCGACCCACACTTGGTGTGTCTGAAGATCCCAGGTTTTGGCACAGGTAGTGGAAAAGGGCTTGATCAGCTGCTGCTTCATGCAAACTGTGACCATGGAGAGTAGATCTAACGAATTCTGCCAAAGGTGTCCTTGAAGACAGCACCTGCTTCAGCAATGAAGCCGACCAAGTGGCAAATGAAAAAGTCCTCTTGCTCCAAGGCGTAGAGCTTGAGGTAGACATCCCTTTCTTGCACGAGGGATTTCCTTCGCTGGCAGCCTTGCAATGAAGATCAAATGCTCCATCGGAACTGAGGCCGGAACAAAGCGAAGGTGAAGCTTCTTGTTTTGTGTCATCACGACTTGTCTTCCTGCCTTTCACTGTTGGGCTTCTCCTCCTTTTCCTTTCTTTGCATGGCGAGGCGGTTTCTTCTTCGGCGCCTCCTCCTCTCCTTTGCCCAGGTTCGTCTTCTTTGTGACCAGACTCTCTTGTCGACGGGAATTGATGAGGTCCACTTCCTTGACATAGGCAAGTGCCACTGCTGCCCAATCTGGAGGACAAAGTGCGGCGAAAGCCCTCAACCTGGGGTTCGTAGCAGCTGGACGAGCCTGGAAAACTCCAGGCGGAGGGTCCTCCTGAAGGGACAGAAGCCATGCCACATCCCATTTTCCTCCGTCTTGTGCGGCCTGCTCGACAGTGACGAGGGTCAGCGCTAACAGCTCTTGTGCCCCTTTGTAATCTGCAGCCACCATCTGATCGGCTATGTGAGCCAGAAGCCACATGACCAGACCAAAGTCCCTTTGTCCCTGAAAACCTCCACTCTTCTCCATGTACTTTGTGAAAAGCGACCTCCCTTGGAAGTCCGCAAGACTCAAAGGCACTGGATCTGAGGGCTTCATCCGGCGGAAGGCGTTCTGGGTAATCTTGAGGAAGAAATCCCCCTTCCTGCCTGCAAGCTCGCTGATCAGCTTCTCTCTCTTGGTGGATCCTCGTAGTGAAAGAGCAGTCGAACTCGTGGCTCCTCCAAGATGTGGAAACCATCGTTCGAAGCAATCTGTGACACGAGCACGTCCTCTGGAAACTTTGAGGCGTCGGTCTGAGCTGGCGCTCCTTGGGCAGGAGTCTTTACTCTGGGGGGACTGCCAACATGCTGCAAGAACCGGCTGGCATTGGGTGTCTGACCACCTTTCCCAGCCAGAACGAAGGGCTGGCGGTGTGCTGGCACGGCGAGGGTTGCAACAAGGGCTTGAGCAGGAGCAGCCAAAAGTGATTCGACCTTCTCCTGCCTCTTTTCCATTTGTGCAAGCTGTGTAGATAAAGCAGGGAGACTTGATGCTAATCCTGCTAACTGCTCTGCTAGCACTGCTGTTGTCACCCTCTTTGCCGGGGTCGCAGCCTTCTGCTTGGACTGCTTCGTAGTCACCGGAGAAGATGGAGCCCCCTCCATTGCAGGCTGATGTGCCTCGTCGGCGGAGTAGAACTGCACCCTGTCGCTTGCTCCGGAAGCCTCTACCCACTGCAAAGCCCCTGTGAGCAAGGAGTTTGGCTCCGGGTAGATGTCGATGTTTTCCTCGCAGAAGCACATGATCCCCGGACCCTCGGTGACAGGATCGAATCCCCTGAGACTTTCTGCCACTGATCCATGAAAATCTACCAACAGCACTTCGACATCGAAATCCAGGGAGACATGGGCACCATCTTCCTCCTCCAAAACGGCCGGAACGCTCAGGAGATGAGAGGGCCCAACAAAATCTGCCTCTCCAGCAAAACCGCCTGCCTCCAGCAGGTCTGATGGAACAAAGCCCTTCACTAGAGCTAGCATCACGCCGCCTGTCCTTGAAATGACAGGAATTGTAAAAGCCTCGACTGGACCAGCACCATCCCCGGCCTCGAAATCCACTCTCAAGACCAGGGTTTGGAAAACGTCCTGCTCCAACCCTTTCCACTCTCTTCTCGCAGTCATTGCTCCCAAGGATCAGGGAAGCGCACCCCTGCTCCAATGCAATAGACCTTCCCCTCAGCCAGCGATGGGAAGGAATGAGAGATAGAGTCCTCGAATCGTGGCACCAACTTGAAATAATCAGCAGCACAAGCCACACGAGTCGGAGCAGCGATGGACTTGGCCTTGAGGATGATGTAGACCTGAGGCTTGAGGTAGGTCGGGAGCTTCCCCGTAGGCCTCGGCTTGGGCACCTCAGCGTCCAAAGCTGCACGAGCCCAACAACCAGCAATCCAAGCACGATCAGCCCTGTCTCGCACGTCCTGCACCGTGCCTCCAAGCCGAGAGCAAAGCTCAATGCAATGTTCAGGAACAGGAGGAATGCGAGAGGCCACCAACTCGTAGGCCTGATTCGTAGACAGACCGGAGGCCGGAGCTGGAGCAGCTGAAGAGGCGGCGTAGTTGGTGATGTCCCAGTCAATCAATGGTATCAGTGTGCACCTCCTGTTCAGGATTTGAGGATCCTGGAGCCCACGAAGCCCGGTTTGCAGCAGCCTCGAGTGTGTCTGCAAGAACTCGCAGAGTATTTGCCGCAGCACGAGTAGCCTCAATCAGATTGCCAAGAGCGGTCCCGCTCATGAAGATACGCCCCAAGGCGTAAAGAGGATGGAGTGGCCGATCGAGGAAGGGGCCGAGAGGAGGGGCTTAGAAGCCCAGAGTAGAAAACCCAAAAGGCGAAAGCAACGGTGCAGAGAGAGCACCGAGACAAAAGCCGGCAAGGAAGAAGGCAAAAAGGAAGGGCCCGGATGCACCGCAATGAGCAGGGCAAGCTAAGCCGAACCAAGAGGTACCCGCACCCCAAGACACAAAGTGAACCAGATCGGCAACGACCTGATTCATGAAGCTTGAAGCCACAAAAGAATTGCAATCGACGTTACAAGATCATGTATATATTCGCCATAGTTCTAAGTCATGTCCAATGCCGCCAAGATACCCATGTGGTCTTCACGACTTCGTGACGTCTCAACACTGCGATGACCAGCGGGTCGACGTTGCCCGTCAACATTTCGATATCAGGAAAGTTGAAGCGATCATCCAAGGAATGGAAGCGCTCCTAGGCTGGCAGCTGCACAAAGCTATGCACAAGACCAGCGGGAAAAAAAACAATAGGCAAGGCGTTGAGACCGTCAAGAACCGTGCAACATCACAACCAGGTCAAGTGACATGCAGCTCACAAGCCACAGTTTGAGCCTTCTTGTAAAAATAGATGGGAAGCCGCTTAAGGTAAGCAGTGTCCTGCAGTTCACTCCTACAAGCCTCATCAACCTTCTGTTTAAAGCAGGCTGCTACATACTGTACTCCATAGCCCCTGATCCCAGTCTGGGAGAACACCTAAAACTGAGTGTAGCAAGCCTGCTACAATGCATCCACACAATATTCAGCGGTCACTTTTGCTGCTTCTATGTGCCTTCAAAATGTTCCCTAGAAAATGCGATGCAATGAAAACATACCGCCGGCAACAGTCTTGCCTGAAAGGCAGTCCTTGGTGCAGCTGGCACAGGCTGACATCTACATAGATCCGTTCCAAGTTGTATCTTGTGTACCCCAACACAAAATGGCCTGTTGCTGCAAAGGCACGGAAACGTATCTGCCAAATCTTGGATAAGCTTACCAGCTGCGTGCGGATCGCCACGGAGTTCTTCCAGAAGGGACATGATGTATTCAGCCAAACTCCTGTACTCGTCAGTTCCCGCTGAGGTTGTCCCATTGGCCCTGCACCCTCTTCTTCCACCATATTGCAGCCGGGCCGCAGCCGAACAAACAAGTGTAAAAAGCTAACCAAAATCAGTTGAGGGTAGGCCTACTGGATCTTACTCTTTCACTGCGAGCTCCACCCGTTCAGCCCTTTCATCGGTGCTCATTGTGGTGTCACATTCAGTGACACGTGAATCACATCTAGCTACTGGTAGCTTCTTGTTACTAGTAGCGATGGCCTCCAGCCTAATAGCGATGGCCCCCACCTAATAGCTTCTAGCTACTAGTAGCTTCTTGTTACTAGTAGCGGCCTCCAACCTAAAATTAAAAGTGATGGCCTCCAACCTAATAGCAATGGCCTCCACCTAAGAGCTTCTAGCTACTAGCAGCTTCTTGTTGCTAGTAGCGATGGCCACAAATTTGGCTTTCTAGAGTATGGTGTCATTCATGGCCGCCACTCATGCACTCATGGAAGGTCACGATACCTCTGGGCTAGGCTGTGGTTGGTCCTGTTCTATCAAAGCCTGGTACTACCTTTTTCCCTGTTCTGACCTGTGAAGGTATACAAACATACACAAACACGACTAAACCACCCGCTAGCATGCATACCCTATCCATTATTATCAAAATTGCCTTTGAAGAAAGGATCTCCTTAAGGTACCACTACGTCACTACAAGACACCGCAAAGTGATGTACTGAACTGCATTTGTTTTGGGGGCTTTGCTGGCCAACATTTTGCCTGATATAACATTGCCCCTTCTATCCACAAAGTTTGAAGGAAGAAGTACAGCGAAGTCCAAGCGCATTCCAAGTCAGCACTTGCAGCAAAGTGTCGGCACGTTCTGTTTGATCAGATTCTCGCCAAGCTCATGCACGACCTGGTCATGGTCATGCCCCTAACCTAACTTATTCAACACGACAAACGCCCCAAGCCAATTATCCAAGACAGGCGACTGAATGCAGTTTGCTCACAAACCTGAGTTACAATGACAACATCTGATTCACTTCGGTTATGGTTCAAAGGGTTTAGGCTTTAAGTTAAAGCATCTTTCATCTAGGAGACTGTGTCAAGTGATCCGCGTGTTCAAGTCGAAAGTGCATGGCCACAGCAGTGTGGCTCAAGTGGAAAAGCCATTCCTCGAAGCGTTGCTGTCGATGAAGCAGCGTCGCGGCTGAACTTGTTTCACATGTGATGCTTCTAGATATCACGTTCTTTGCAAGCGAGCAGCTGCCTTCAACTCTGGACACATTTGCGACAAGCTCTCAATACCCTGTTTCACCTCAGCGGGTTCTCCCTGGATACCCTCAAGAACGTCAAGTTGATAAGCTAAAGAAAACCTTACGTTCACTCGTCCGTTTCACAACTCATCTCCAACTTCTGGGAGAGGCTCCGTTTCCCAAGCGCCCTTTCCATGGTGGCTGCGTAGCTCATCTCGCCAACTGGCACCAAAATCCAATGCGCCAGCCAAAACCAACATGGCGGCTTCCTGCGAGCGGACAAGCTCTAAGTCCCACAGAAAGTGTGTAAACTCTTTTGCACTAGTGGCACTATATAGTGCACTAGAGTTCAGTAGAGTACATACATCTCTTCCGTCCAAGTCCGAGTGAAAATCCAGCCACCGTCATCGTCCTCCTCGAGTGACTGGGGCACGCCCGAGGCAATAGGGTCCTCGGAAGATTGTGTGTGCAACCCTTGGAATCATAGGGAGCTGCGAGCCTATTTTGTTTTTCTCATGAATGCAGGGGAGTGGGCGCCTTCTGGATGTACCTGCTTAGTTGTGGCGTTCCTAGGCACATCCCATTCTAAATCCAGGCTGGTGAGGTGGAGGTAGGTCGGCAGTCACACATCTTTTGCTTTTCCTGCATTTTGAGCCTTGGAGATCTTTGAAGCCCTATGGAAACTTCCTTGGGATTTGAGATCTTTTGATGCTTGGACCTCGCTGCATATGATACCTCGACCTCTTGCACTTACTTATATAGACTTCTTCAGGGCTACGGGATGAGAAAAATGTGCTTTCGTAAAGGCTTAAATTCCCCCCTTGTCTTGTGCAGCCCGGCGATGTGATGCTGGCTTGCCATCGCACATACATCCTCAGTCGAGCGTTGTAGCACAAGACGCATGAAGGAGCTAGGCTAGATAGCGCACTTGAGGTTCATTAGACATACAAGTATGTGATGGGTGCAGTCAAGTTTCATGGAGGTCCAATGCTGCGGTCAAGTTGGCAGCATTGATGCGGCTCGCCCAGGCTGGAAGGCTCATCGCTGAAGCCTTACTCACCCACCCGTGAACTCCGGGACCCTAATCCTCCAAGCGAATCAAGGAAAACTTGTTGTAGCATGGTAAATTGACGATAAGGCCAAAAAAAGCGGCTCTCCGTTTCCTTGCCTCAGTAAAAGGAAATAGAGTCAGTCCTCCGCAAAACCAGAAGAAAAAGAAATTCACAAATATATATATATATACAGTATATATATATATGTATATATTTACACACACACACACACACAAACTCTTCGGAAAAGAAGAAACTAAAAGAAATATACAAAAATGGAGTAGTCTTCAGGCTTCTTCTTTGTTCTTCTCTGGTGAAACACTTGCCGGGGCAAAGAAGGAGCTCAGCTTACCCTCTGGACCCTGCAAAGCAACCACATCTTGCAGCGCACATGCAGAATGCCGGGCTCGTTCATGACATGGCATCGACGACATATGCCTGATTTTCGTGGAAAGCGTGGAAAACATGGAACCTGCATGTTTGGCGGCGCATTATTGCACGAGTTAGAGGGATCCTCAACTGAAACACTCCCCTCAACTCGGCCTGAAGTCTGGCAGCTCTTCGACATCGCGCCATGCTCCCAAAGACGGAGCCATGGCTCAAAAGTGCTGCTTTCCTATGCTACTAGTAGTTTCTTGCTACTAGTAGCAATGCCCTTGTTACTAGTAATGCCCTTTCCCATGCTTTCCCTGCAATTTTGCTACTTCAAAAAAAGAACGGGGTTTACAGGCATGGTTGCAAGATGTTGGATCTTTTCTCGCATCAAGTTTGCCTGTGCGAGCTAGCATCTTCCCGGAAACATGGAAGGATTGTTCCAATAATTCAATGACAGGCTTTCCTTGCAAGATGGTGGAGGGTCGATGGCAAACCTTTGCCCAATATTGAGCACACTCAAGTATCATAGCTGCAAGGCAATGACCTTCAAGGCTTAGCCCAACAACTTTGACCTCTCTTTCAGCGCACTTGCTTTTGTCCCCCTTCAATGCCATGACATCCATGAAATCAACGCCGTGACATCCATGACTTGCGCAATTTGCGCTCGGAAAAGCCATGCACTTGACTGGCCTGGCTGCCTGGCTAGTGCCAATAACTGATCATTGGTCTTTCGTCAAAGTTAAGTCAAATCAATCTGAACATAAGGTCTTGCCGCAGGAGGGCATGCTGCAAATTGGGTCGGGATCTGATTCACCTTGGCTCGTTGGCTCGGCAAATTGGTTGTTGGGAACGGTTGAGCTCCCCACAGGGACCCTGCCGCAAGATGCAGCCTGGCGGGCACGCAGGTAGAGATCGAAAATGTGCTCAACACACTAGCCGATGCACGCCTGCGGATGACCATACTGCACGGATGCTGGCGGCGGCCAACCGGCACAACCAGAATTCACAAGCAAAGGCACCTTTCAAGTGCAACGTCATCTTCATCGTCTTCATCCTTTAAGACCTTTTTTGAGTGAACATGGCCTGGCCCATAGACAACTGCTGTGGCGAGATCATGCAACCTGGCGGCAAGTCTGAGACACTCGGAAGCGCATTCTCCCCGGTAAAACTCCACGAGATGGAGTATGACATGTGAGAGAGAGGTCCCTCTCTGTCCAGATTCTGCTTGGCAAAAGCACGGGAGCATGCACCAACCCATGCCACAAGCAGTCAGAAGCGACACGGTCCAGAGATCAGCGGCGACAACCGACACCCAAAGCCGAAAACCGAATCGCCTTTTGTTTGACAAAGTTAGGCCGCAAAGTGATACCCCCCTAAAAAAGTACTCTGAAGCACTCTGAAGGAGAAATCCCGAAAAGGAAAATCCGAAGCTGATTCCAAGTCCGGTGGAGGATCCCTATAACCACTCTTCTAGAGCCAACCTCCTGGAGAATGACGGCTAGGCTGCTGAGCCATGGTGCCACCCTGAATCAGCAGTCATTCAGCATGCAAGTGAGAGTTCTACGTATAATTGACTAGTACTCTGCAAGGGCGGTCGCATGCTGTGAATGATTCAAAGTTTCTTCATTGGCATTCAGTCTAATCTACAAAGAATATTGCCACGTCCGCTTCTGCTCTCAGTCTACCAACCTGCTAAGCTAAGCATCCTGCAGGCACCATCTGTTGTGGAGGAAGCATTGCCCTTGGCACTTCTGGCCCGCCAGTCCTCACAGGTTGCCGTCATCTGCTCCAATCCATACTTCCCAGAGAGGCACTTCGTTGGGATTCCAGGTCATTCTTGACATGGGATTCCTATGCCTTCAAAGATTCAAACATCATTCCTGTAGAACCTGTGCGTGCTGTGGTTCCAACGCCTTCCCGTCATGGTGGCTCTTTTGGATCTGTCTGCGGCTGCATGAGCTGCTTCAGCTGCCTGACGAGTGTGCGTGTGTGCGCGCGGGTGTGTGTGTGTGTGTAACCCTTGGAATCAG